TTTATCAAAAACAAAATGCTTTTTGGAAATCCAAAAGGCTTCCTTACCGTTTTCATGGCAGGCACTGTCAGACAAGCTTTAGGGTAGAGATGGGGAACGATGGTCCCTTTATGACTTGTGGACTTCAACTCCCAGAATTCCTGAGACAGGCTGCCTCAGGAATTCTGGGAGTTGAAGGTCCACAAGTCATAAAGGCACCATCCTTCCCCACCCCTTCTGTAGAGCTAGTGACGTGATTGGGAACTTTGGAGATGTTTGGTAGTCTGGAGAAAAGAAAGACTAGGGGGTGACATGACAGCAGTATTCTAGTATTTGAAGGGCTGTCACAAAGAGGAGGGGGGTTAATTTATTTTCCAAAGCACCAGAAGTCAGGACAAAAAACAATGGATGGAAACTGACCAAGGAGAGAAGCAACCTGGAATTAAGGAGAAACTTTCCAGCAGTGAGGACAATTAACCCGTGGAACAGCTTTGCCTTCAGAAGTTGTGGGGGCTTCATCCCTGGAGGGTTTTATGAAGAGATTGGACAGCCACTTGTCTGAAATGTTATAGGTCTCCTGCTTGAGCAGGGGCTGGACTAGAAGACCTCCAAGGTCCCTTCCGCCTCTATTCTGATTTAAATAAACATTGAAACATTCATAACATGGTTGATAGGGCTTGCATGACAAGTCCCAAAATGTCCCCTTATCAGAATATAAACAGCTGAATTTGATTTCTGGCATTGTCTATCGGCTTTTGATCTGGGAAGAAGGCAGTAGCCGAGAGTCCCTAAGAGAGCTTTTGTGATTGAAGTGGGACCTAGAACCTGGGTCTCCTGATACCCAGCCCATCATTTTCACAGACCAGGCTGAGAAGGAGGAACTGTCCCAGAGTCCTCAAGGCAGCTTTTCTGGTGGGAGAGGGATCTAGAAACTGGGTCTGTTGGTACCAGCCCAATATTTTCAACCCAAAACCAGGCTGAGCGGGAGGAACTGTCCCTGGGTCCTCAAGGGAGCCTCTGTGGCTGAAGGGGGACCTAGAACGTGGCTCTTCACCACAAGACCAGGCTGAGAGGAACGATCTAGCCCAGAGTCCAAAGGAGGACCTAGAACCCGCGTCTCCCTCTTGCCAGCCCAACGTTTTCACCACTAGACCAAGCTGAGAAGGAAGAATCATCCTAGAGATCCCAAGAGAACTTCTGTAGCTGAAGGGGCACCTAGAACCTGGGTCTCTCCACTCCTGGTTCAGCATCTTCACCGTCTTTTACACCTATTCCCAATACAATGTGTGCATGAACAATGAAGGGCAGCCGGCTTTTGCACACCTCTAGTTGGATCACTCTGGAACCAGCACGATGCTCTGGGGAACATTTCTCCTTCCAATGCCATTCCCTTCATTTATTAGAGCTTAGCCTGGTTTGTTACAGCCAGCATCTCAAGACAGGATCTCTTCTCTCTTGCAGAAGACAGCATCCTTATCCCAAGTGTCCTAGGGAGGGAATCTGATCCTGAGGGCCATGTGGCTTGCACAGGCTTTAGATTTCACAACCCCCAGAAGTAACATCAGTCCCCACTCCTTGTGGTTATTGGTTGGCCAGGTTATTCAATATCCTGACCTTCTGAACACAAACAGCAACACCAAGAAAACCTGGAATGGTTATAAGTCCTCAGGGCTGGGAATGGTGATCTGCCAAGTGGCACCTGTACTTTCCAGACAACAATTGTGTTTTTTTTCAGGGTTTCCAGCTGTCAAGGAACAGAGACTTATGACTTTTGCAATACTGCAGAGTTCCTGCAGCAATTCTTCGCGGCTTCTTTTTGGTGGCCCTGTTTTTCAGACATCAGCAGGTTGAAAGAGAGAAGGGGGGGAGAGGAAGGGAGGGAGGGGGAGGGAGAGAGGGAGGGAGGAAGAAAGAGGGGGAAAGAGGGAGAGAGGGAGGGAGAGTGGGAGGGAGGAAGAGAGCAGGGAGGGGAAAGGAAGGGAGGGGGTAGGAGGGAAGATGGGAGAGGAGAGAGGGAGGAAGAGAAAAAGGGAGGGGCAGAGAGAGGGAGGGTGAGGGAGAGAGAAGGAGGAAGGGAGGGTGGGTGGGAAGGATGAAGAGAGAAGAGAGGGAGGGAAGGGAAGAGGGAGGGAGGGAGGGGGTGGGAGGGCTGATGGGAGAGGGAGGAAAAGAAAAAGGGAAGGAGAGAGAAAGGGAGGGAGAGGGAGAGAGAAAGAGAGAGGGAGGAAGAGAGAAAAAGGGAGGGAAAGGGAGAGAAAAATAGACAGGGAGGGATTGTGGGAGAGAGAGGAAAAGAGAGAGGGAGGAAGAGAGTGGGAGGGAGGGAGAAGGAGGGGGGGAGGGAGCGGGAAAGAGTGAGAGATTTTCTTCTAAGTTTTTATTATCTCTAGGCCAGACCAAGAGTTCTCTACTCCTCTACTCGTTGCAGAATACCTTATGCCATCAGACTCGAAATTCTAGACCTAGAAAACCTACAACTACGCCGCCTTCGGTCCGATCTAAATATAGTATATAAAATCACACATTGTAATATCCTATCAGTCAATGAATACTTCAGCTTCAACCATAACAACACAAGAGGAAACAATAGATACAAACGCAAGGTTAATTGCACCAAACTTGATTGCAGGAAATACGACTTCAGCAACAGAGTGGTCAATGTCTGGAATACTCTACCTGACTCTGTGGTTTTTCCCCAAACCCCAAAAACTTTAACCTTAGACTGTCTACTATTGACCTCACCCCTTTCCTAAAAGGTCTATAGGGGGCGTGCATAAGCGCACCAACGTGCCTACCATCCCTGTCCTATTGTTTCTTTTATATATATATATTTATTATTCTTATATGTATCCATGTATTCATAACTATGTTTTACTTATACCTATTATCTTGTAAGCAATTGACAAATTAAAAAATAAAATAAAAAATTTTCAGGGCAGGCCCAGCAAGAAATGCATGTTGATTCTGGTTTTCCATTTGAGTCATATATCATTTCTATAAAATGAGGGATGTTTAGCAATGGATTTGTCAGCCTCTGAAAGTCTAAGGAAATATTTTTATATTACCAGATTTAAAAAAAAAAAGTCTAGTTCCTCTGACACAGAGTATCTATTAAACATTTAGCTATGTTTTAACAGCAGCAAAGGAAACCTTAGATTTCTCCTGCCCTGGGACCATTTTTAATAGCATTTATTCAGAATAAACTCAATTTACGTAACATGATAAACAACTGAAGCTAAGTACAACCTCTGAATCTGGCCAGAGGACTGTAAACAACTGTATCTGGCTTAATACAATGTGGCTTAAAGCAATGTGTGACAGCTATAACCACTGCCTATCTCTTAACGTGATGCTTTTGTCAATAAATTATACTAAATGGACATCAAGCCACTATGTCTTGTTCAATAAATTATGATCACAACAAACCATGAGGGCTCTAAACCATTCCCCATGTCTTCATGCAGCATTTCTTTAACTATTTTTCCTCAGGGCCTCTTCCCACTTTTAAAAATCACGGAAGACCCCAAATCAGCTTTTGTTTATATGTGTTATATTTATCAATATTTACCGTATTAAAAAGTAGAATTGAGGCCATCACTGCTACTACCTCCTGTCACAATCGTTTGATGGGATTTTACTATTGAGTCAAAAAGAGGGCTGTGAAAATATTTACAGACCCTTCACATCCCGGACACAAACTGTTTCATCTCCTTCCCTCAAACGCTATATAGGATCTTCTGCTTGAATAAGGGCTGGACTAGAAGACTTCCAAGGACTCTTCCAGTGCTATTCTGATTAACATTAACATTTGCGACACTGCAGTTCCCATTAATGGTTGCAACCTCTTTATTTTCTGCCTGCAGCTGCTAAATACTTGCAATCTCCCAGCTATAGAGCTTCTCCTTCCTCTGTTTAAAGCTGAGAATAATAACAATGCGTTGTTTCTGTGTCATATATGTGGGTATGTGTGTGTACACACAATTTATTTATTTATATTTTTGTCAAGTTTATGTAGTGTATACTGGAGGTGGTGACCCTTTGAGAGCTGTATGCAACAAATTTTCATTTTAATCTATGCCGATTTATGTACATTCAAAGTGACAATATTCTATTCTGGAACAGCTTTGTCTTCAGAAGTTGTGGGATCTTCATCACTGGAAACTTTCAAGAAGAGATTGGACAGGCATCTGTCAGAAATGCTACCAGGCTGTGATGGCGAACCTATGGCACGCATGCCACAGGTGGCACGCAGAGCCATTTGTGAGGGCATGCAAGCCCCAGCCAAATTTACCTGCACTGTGCATGTGCGCCTCCCAGGTGATTGTTGGGCTGTTTGAGGCCTTTTTCACCCTCCCTAGAGCTCGAGGGAAGCCTCTGCAGCCTTTGGAGGCTGAAAAACAGGCCTTCTGGAAATATCAGAAGTGCTGAAACCAGAAGTGCTGAAATGGGCCAGTTTTTTGGCCTCCAAAGGCTGCAGAGGCTTCCCTTGAGCCCCAAGTGGGGCGAAAAAGGCCTCAAACTGGCCAAAAATCAGATGGGAGGCATGCACATGCACAATGCAGGTAACAGGAGGGGGGGGCAGAGCGCACTGCATTGTGGGTGCATGCATGTGCTTTCGGCACACCACAACAAAAAGGTTCGCCATCACTGCTATAGGGTCTCCTGCTTCAGAAGGGTTGGACTAGATGACCAACAAGATCCATTCCAACTATTCTATTCTATTCTATTCTATTCTATTCTATTCCATTCCATTCCATTCTTATATCCTATCCTATCTATCCTATGATTCAATTCTATTCTATTTCATTCCTATTCGATTCTGTATATTGGGAATGGTGACCCTTTGAGAGCTGTATGCAACGAAATTTCAATTTAATCTACGCCTATGCGTACATTTAAAGAGACAATCAAGTTATTCTATTATTCTGCTATTCTTCTAATAAACTCCGATTGCTTTTCCAGGGCGGACCGCAATTGGGGTGGGGGAAGACAGAGCGAGGGGGAGGGACAGTTTCCTCCCCCTTTGCAGGAAGTGACACACACGTTCGCAACCGGGTCAGCTGGGATTCCGCTTTCCTCGCCGCCCACCCCCTTCGCAACTTCGCAAAGCCCGGGCTTTCAGGAGGGCGCATGGGATTCCTGCAATGGGAAGGTGGAGGGCGTTGTGGAGGCCTTGGGGCTGCGGCCAGAGCAACCTCTCGGCGCCTACGGTTAGTTTAAAAAAAAAAAACCCTCGCCGCCGACCCCCCCCCTTCTCTTTGGTTGTTGGGTTTTGTTTTTTTGCAAAAACGCCGAAGGTTACTTAGCAGGGCGAGAGCGTGCAAAAGTTAAGGCGGGGTTGTTTTTGCAACAATTGCCACCCGCGCGCGGCTGGTTGCCATCCGTGCGCGCGGACGTGCAGAAGGCAACGCTTGCCCATGAAGGCGGGGGGGGGGGTCTACCCTGAAATTGGGGCGGAGTGGGGGGTAAAATAAGGGGTTTAAGGGGAAAACAGGGAGTCGTATTGCAAACCGTCCTGGAAAGTGATCCCGTGCAAAAGAAGCCGGGATCGTGTGCAAGAAGCTTTGCGTGCAGTGCAGCGTAGCGCAACCAGCCTTCCTCCCCTCCCCCCTTTTCTCTTTGCTTAAGGGCGAAACCTCCGAGGATCCAGATGGCAGGCTTTGTCCACTGCGTGGAGAGGTGTTTCCTACCTCCCCCACCACCACCACGTAGGTGGTGGTAGCTCCCGTTTTATAAAATTAAGCGCGTTTAATGTATAATTAATCGATTATGGTATAAGCAGCCTTTGATTTCGCCGCGCGGTTTTGAAGGGCGAAGCGCGATCTCGGTTTTCGGCGGTGTGCATGAATAAATCGTGGTATTACCGATTACTTTAACCATTAGATTATAATATAAATTATGTATAAATGATGTATTGTGGAATTATGATAAATAAGTTATAAAAATGCAATGCTAATAATAGGATGGTATATCGCCGTGCCCTGCTTGTATTCAATCGTGGGTTAGTTACCTTTCGAGGAAGCAAATAAAACTCGTTTAAATACAGGTTTGCTGCTGGAGATCCCTTTAGATGAGATTTGCTGGGGGGTGGGGAAACGAATGCCGGGGATAGGAGTCAGATAATCGGCATAAAACTACCATGGGTTGATAAAAGATTAGTTAATTTTTCCTTAATAGACGCAGGAGTGCCACTTTTTCTGAATTCTTTCGGCCTTCACCACCAGATCTTTTTCATTCCAATTTTCCCGGCTTATAACCAAACTAGAGTCTGATAAATAAGCAATGATACCCTCTTGATTTGTGTCTGGGATGTGGGGAGGTACAGGAAGCCAAGTTTTGGGAGCTAGGCGGGTGGGAAGGAGCTGATTATCTTAAGTCTTTGAAATTCTAGTTGTTTCTAGTGGTTGAGACTTGGGAGGTGTACAACTTTAGTAGATGAAACTAAGATATAGTAACTTATGTCCTATGTGTATTGTAAGAAATATCTCTCAGCCTCTGTGTACAAGCAATTTTTTAAGGATCTTTCCCCCACATTAAGAAAACACATAATAAAGTTTTAGCTAAGGATAGTTGAATAAGCCATGGTTTTAACCATGATTTATTGAACTTTGTTGAGTCCACATATTACGTTAATCCATTAGCCACCCATTAATGAGAAATCCCCTCACTAAACCAGAGGAGCCAAATTCTAGATTTAAAAAAAAAAGTTTATTGGAGAAATACAGGAACAAGGAAAAGGATGGTTTTTACAAAAACTCCGGATAAAATCAATATCATCTGTTTAAATAGACAATTTTTACCTCCTTGAATTAAGATGTTGGATTCCCAAACATGTTGGAAGTTCATTGACCAGATATAGTTGGAGAAATGTCGTCAGGGCCTTCTCTGGAGATGTTGATAGGCAGGGACCTCTTTCCTCCTTCCTTGGAGTGCTTCTCTGTTTTAGGGAAGGTGGAAGGTAGATCAGAGCCAACCTCTTTGAGCAGAGTGACTTTTATTTTGCCCAATCCAAGCCAGTCCTCTTTCTCTGATGTCTTAGACCTAGCTAGCAAATCAGAAATTACCTTACTGGTTAGACCCACCTTCATAGCAAGGTGGAATATAAAGACATACCTGTAGTTTAGTGTTTAGTCTGTATTATGTCAGTGGAAATCTCATTTGAGGAAACAAAATAAATAGAATAGAATAGAAAGGACGGAACACTGTTCTATTCTCTATTCTAGTCTCTATTGAATAGAGAATAGAACAGAATATAGAATAGAACAGAACAGAATAGAATACAGTAGAATAGAATAAGATAGACAGAACAGAACACTGTTCTATGATGGAAACTGAACAAGGAGAGATTTAACCTGGAAATAAGGAGAAACTTTCTGACAGTGAGAACAATCAACCAATGGAACAGAAGTTGCCCTCAGAAGTTGTGGGTGCGCCATCACTTGAGACCTTCAAGAAGAGATTGAACTGCCACTTGTCAGAAATGGTGTAGGGTCTCCCGCTTGGGCAGGAGGTTGGACTAGATGACCTACAAGGTCCCCTCCAACTCTGATTATCTGTTATCTGTTATGCTATTCTCTATTCTAGTCTAGTGAATAGAGAATAGAATAGAATATAGAATAGGATGGAATAGAAAAATAGAACAGAACACTGTTCTATTCTCTATTCCAGTCTATTGAATAGAGAATAGAATGGAAAAAGAGTAGAGTAGAGTAGAAAGGAAGGGACCTTAGAGGTCTTCTGTTCCAACCCCCTGTTCAAGCAGAAAGCCCAATTGTGTACCGTTTCAAACAAATTGTTGTCCACTCTCTTCTTTAAAACCTCCAGGATTTGTGCCTCACAGCGCATAACTAATTTATTAGATCTATATTGGGCAGTTATGATAGCATAGTATCTAATGCCGGAAGAGTTCAATGTTTACATGTTGAAGAGTTTACATGTTAAAAAATTACAGATGTTTCCCTTCGCCCCTGCAGAGGAGCCATTATTTCCCCATGCTTTTGTGACTTTTCTTCCGCCATTATCCTGTGGGAAAGTCTAGCTGGGATACAAGTCTTCATGAGGAGATATATCTCTCCAAACCTTAGATCAGGGGTGTCCAACCTTGGCCTCTTTAAGACTTGTGGACTTCAACTCCCAGCTGAGGAATTCTGGGAGTTGAAGTCCACAAGTCTTAAAGTGGCCAAGGTTGGACACCCCTGCCCTAGATCAAGAGTCTTCAAACTTGGCAAGTTTAAGACTCGCGGACTTCAACTTCCAGGATTCCTGAGCTAACATGAATCGAGGAAGAAATCTGGGAGTTAAAGTCCACAAGTCTTAAAGCTGTCAAGTTTTGAAGACCCCTGCCCTAGATCAACCTTGAACCCTATCCATTTTGCCAAGATGGCTGCCTCATGGGCCTTATTTAATGAGGCCTCTTTCTCCAGGCCGTCTTTTATACCCTGCTCTTCAATGGTGGTTCAGAGGAGGAAATCGTTTTAAAGAACCGATGCCTACAAAGCATCATCTGCTATTCCCAGAGCAGGGCTGCAGTCTTCTCCGGTCAACAGCGAGGGGTATGAGAGTTGTAGACAGAAATATCTGGAAAGAGAGAGAGAGAGAGCATAGAGAACAACCTTGAACGACAGAAGGATTGAGCTGCTAAGCCCATCTAAGGTCAGATAAGAAGGGACAAGAATGTAAGGTGAGTAAACATTACAGAGAAGCCCCTCCCAAGTTCACATGAAGATAAATTGAGGGAAATGGAAGCCGTTTGAGGCTTGGGAAGATTCTATTACTACAGCTATTACTATAACTGATTCTGTGGCCCTCAGGTTGTGGACCCCTGGCCTACACAAATGGGTGCAAGATAGTCCATACAGCTAATCCTTGACTTGTGACCATAACAGCCTGCAATTTTGGTCATAAGTTGTGAGGGTCCTTGAGCAGATCACTGCATCACCATGTTACAGGCTTTGGTGTAATTTTATAGTCTTTTTTGTGGTGGTCATTAAGTGAGCACCACAGTCGTTAAGCAAACCCATTGTTTGCTGGGGAGGGGAGGGGAGGGGAAGGGAAGGGAAGTCTTTATTGGCCAAGTGAGATTGGACACACAAGGACTTTGTCTTTGGTGCATTGTAAAGATTGTAAAATGCAGTCACATAACTGCAAGATGGCGCAAGCAACAGTAAATACCAGTTGCCCACCCTCTGAATTTTGATCAGGTGACCATGGGAATGCTGCGACAGTCATAAGCATGAACAATGATTGTAGGTCATTTTTCTTTTTTAACTTCGAAGGGGTTACTGAATGAATGGTTGTAAGTCAAGGACCACGTGTATTGTTGGGTTTTGTGGGTTTGGATCGCTGGGTTATGAGAACCCAGCTCCAAGGGGTCGATGGGAGGAAGGAAGAAAATAGTATTGACTGAGCAAATATGCCAAGTTCTCTCTTGCCTCCTTTTGACTCTCCAGGTGTTCCCCCACCGAAATGCCTCTTCCTTTGCCCTCCCCCGCCAACCTGTACCTTTGTTGGCTCAAACCATGACCCAGTACCTGCGCTCCCTGGAGCCCCTGGTGAACCCCAAAGACCTGGAGCAGACGCGGCAGCTGGTGGCAGCCTTTGGGGCCCCAGGCGGAGAAGGCGAGAGGCTGCAGGTGCGGCTGAAATGCAGGGCTGCCCGCATGGAGAACTGGGTAAGGAAGGGGGACTCTGGAGGGCAGGCGGGAAACCATGGAGCCCTTGGGGGTGCAGTGGCTAGAATGCAGTACTGCAGGCAAACTTTGCCCGCAACCTGGAGTTCAATCTTTACAGAGCTCAAGGTTGACTCAGCTCGCCATCCTTCCAAGGAGGGTAAAATGGGGGGAATCCAGATTGTTGGGGGCAATACGCTGATTGTCAACTCGTAAAGCATTCAAGGCCTGCTCTCGAGTTGCCATAAGAAGTGGGGGGCGGGGGGGAGAGATCCGATAGAGCAGTTTGGTTGCTATGACCAGAAACACATTCCACATATACCTTTCTCCAGATTGTGTCCCAGGTTACCAGAGCCACCCAGAGTGGTGTGTTTTCTATAGCCCCTGAAAGTGCTCAGTTGGAGAATATGATTTATGACACACTCTGGGACGAAGCGGGAAACAGGGTCATAGGTGGGCAGTAAATTACATAGGGCAGAGTCGACTGCACTTGGGGAAAATGCTGACACGTTGCTCCTAATAAATAATTGGTTTCCTTTTGAAATTTGGCCCGAGGCGCATGAATTAATTAGGGCATCCATCGGAACACTGACACTAATGTTGTGAACTGCCCAGAGAGTACTCTTAAGAAGGGGTCCCCAACCACCAGGCTGTGGCTCACTACCGGCCCATGGCTTATTTGCAACTTGGGCTGCTTAAGTGTGCACACAAGCAGCAGGCCAGTACACATGCATGCAGCTTGACTCACGTGAGTGGTGACTCGGTTCCTCCCTCCCCTTGGAAGTTGACCCGCAAAAGTTGAGGACCATAGCTATAAAGCACTATAAAGCGCTATAAAAATCTAAGTGGTATTACTATGTTTCTAGCTATTCCTATCCAATTTAGGTATTCCTATCCTGTGGCACTATTAAAGGTAAAGGTTCTCCTCGCACATACATGCTAGTCGTTTCGGGCTCAAGGGGATGGTGCTCATCTCCGTTACAAAGCCGAAGAGCCAGCGCTGTCCAAAGAAGTCTCCATGGTCATATGTTCAGCATGACTAAACACCGAAGGCGCACGGAACGCTCTTTCCTTCCCACCAAAGTGGTCCCTATTTTTCTACTTGCATTTTTTTACGTGCTTTTGAACTGCTAGGTTAGCGGAAGCTGGGGCAAGTAACGGGAGCTCACTCCGTCACGCGGCGCTAGGGATTTGAACCGCCAAACAGCCGACCTTTCTGATCAACAAGATCAGCATCTTAGCCACTGAGCCACCACGTCCCTATATAGAGGCATAATTGGTAGGTTGCAAATTCCGAGTCATGGAGAGCAACTACGTGGTGGAGGTACGTCTGTTCCCCTTTTGCTTTCGTGGAACGGCTCTTTTCTCCCACTTGGTGCCCACCAGATGTTTTGCAACTGCAACCATCCCAAATTCTGCAACCGCATCATGGCCTGTGAACTAAATGTCCCCAAAGAAGCCACAAAAGCTGACTTGCCTTTCTGCCTTGATAAGGAAGCTTTGAAGCATCATTGCTGGTCCACACCATTTACTAACACCCCTTTCCCATTCTTAGGATTCTGAAACCCACAAATAATAGGAATAGCAATAGCAGCTTTATATTCTGCTTCACAGTGCTTCTACAGCCCTCTCTAAGTGGTTTACAAAGTCAGCATTTTGCCCCCAACAATCTGGGTCCTCATTTCACTGACCTCGGAAGAATGGAAGGCCGAGTCATCCTTGAGCCGGAGAGAGTCGAACTGTTGGCAGTCAGCAGAAGTAGCGTATAATACTGCATGCTAATTAACCACTGGGTCACCACGGTTCTCTGGGTTAATGTTGGTTGCTTTTTTTCTTGTTTCTTTTCGCTTAAAAAATATCACACTTTTGTCTCTCCAGTAATGTCACCGTGTCATCGGAAAAGCTTTGTGGTCCTTGACGCCCTGATTGGTTTCTTAAATTTATCTCCAAAAGAAAAAAAGAGTCCTTAATCTTAAGGGTTTGTTCATATTAATGGGAAAAGTGGTGAGGGAACTACTACTGGGCACACTACTGCCCCAAGTTGCTTATTTGATGGCATGGGAACTCAAGAGCTTGCTTCTGTCCTTATCTTGTCACAGAAATGAGCCACCAAGTGGATGCCAAGTTCGTAATGATCAATCTAGGGTCTACTTAGTAGCATTTGCTGGGGGCAAGAGGAGAACAGATCAAATGGATGTGACAAGGGTCGTTGTGTAAAAGTTACAACTCAGATACGTGCACCCGATGTTGCACCCCAGGTACACAGTGGCAGTGTTTGCATGACGTTTCACTGCATGGGATTCACTGCATAACCTAAGAATCGTTGTAGTTTGCGCTGGATTCTGTCGGGTCTTCCCACAGGTAAGGGGAAGCCTGATGACCTCCAGATGTATTGGGCCAATCTTTGCACATCTGGAGGGGCATTAAGCAGGGGAAGGCTGCCATAACTATATGTTAGATTTTGCAGCAGAAATTCTAATCCAGAAAGCTCACACAGATGACTAATTCAGTAGGATTCATTAACTTCTTTGTATATATATATATAATAACATGTGAAGTAAAGTTTACAATACCAATAGTAGATTCTTCCAACGTAACACAAGCAAAACACAAGCAGCAGCTTCAAAGCTCAGAGCAGAGACTATAGCCACACCCAGGTGAATCTAGTTTCACTTTCCAATTCAGCTCCCATTGGCTGGTTTGTGGCCATGCCTATACTTTGGCTGACTTTGTTAATAAGCTCTATTCCATTCATGAATATACTCTGACACTATATACCAGTGGTGGCTAACTTTCCTGTGCCAAAAATTGTGTGTGCTGTTGCGCGCTCATGTGCCAGCACCCAGAAGGCAATGTATGCCCTCCCATTGCGCATGTGCACGCAATCCCCCACCCCCTTACCTACACTGCACCTCCCAGCTGATTTTCAGCCGGTTTGAGGCCTTTTTCGGCCTCCCAGGCTTGAGGAAAGCCTCTGCAGCCTGAAAAATAGCCTGTTTCATCACTTCCTGTATCACAGGACGGGCCTATTTTTCAGGCTGCAGAGGCTTTCGTCAAGGCTGGGAGGCCAAAAAAGGCCTCAAACCAGCTGAAAATCAGCTTGGAGACACGCGCATGTTCAGTGAGGTAAGTTTGCCTGCGGCTCGAGGGCTGCCATAAATGGCTCTGCGTAGCACCTGTGGCACGCGTGCCATAAGTTCGCCATCATGGCTATATACTACTAAAAACCTTGTGTATCCACTGATTGTAACCAGGGTAGATGAAAATTGATGTTTTTTTTTTAAAAAAAGCAAAAAAACCCAGATTTTTTTAAAATTTAAATTGGATTTTTAATTTTTTTTTATCCAAAAAAAAATTGGTGATGTAGGGCTTCCTGCCTAAGCAGGGGGTTGGACTAGAAGACCTCCAAGGTCCCTCCCAACTCTGCTATTCTACCCTACCTGCTTTTTTGCCTAGCTGCGATCATTCTGTTCCTCTGTTTAAATAAGGAAATATCCCTGAAACAATGACCTAGTAGATCACAGGTTGTCTAGTTTGAATTAGACAATCAAACTTCTAACACTTCCAAGTGTGCAAGCAAGCAAACATGATAATCTTACTAGACTTTGTCTTCAGTGTTACCACATTGTCCTCGTTTTAATGACCCTTTGCATCAGTGGGGAGCTGATAATTAATAGTTTGGAGGAAAAATATTAAAGCTTTCTCTTGTTTTGGTCCACTGAAGCTGGACTTTCCTTTCAGGAAGAAAGTAGACTGTTCAGTCCATGCCTGACCGACTTTATTAATGATCTCAGGAGGATGTGGCACTAATGCAAAAATTCAGCTGATGCAATTTATATAACTTCTTTTTGCTGCTGTATAAATTTTTATTTTTTAACCCTAAAAACATGCCATGTTCCCCTTAGAATTTACAAATATAAATTCCTTCATACAGAAATTTACATTCTGTCAGAACGGTTCTATGCATTGCTTGAAAAGTTTGTACATATTTTAAATTTCTTGTTGCTCTCTATATATTTGTAGCTTTTACTTATCTACTAACAGCGTTTATTGGCTGCCCCCATGTGGCCAGTTTAAGGCAGTATACATCAGCAAACAAATACAGAATATCTTTATAATTAAAACCAATGAAAACACATTACCAAAACAATAAACAAGCACAGAATGAGATGAGCTGGTCTAATCCCTTTGAAAATAAGAACTTTTTAAGAGCCATCCTGAGCGGAAGGAATCACAAGGAATGATTCCTTAATTATGGGGCTGTCGACATAAAACCCCATCTCTTGTCTTATTACGGGAAAGGCACTGATATCAGAAATGAATTTTCTTTCATTAGGCCCAGAAAAGCAAAATCATATTCGGTGAGTCAGTCCGCAGTAAGTCCACATGCATAGTATTCTGGTCTGTAGAAGCATGTTTGCATCATTGAAAATAGAATAGGAATAATTTCAATAATATAATTAGCAATAATGAATTTTCTTGAGTCTATTGATCTATTTGAGCTTACCGAAATATTTATCAGACTTATATAAACTGTCCAATTCCAGAGGCACCAAGTTTTTGGTAGCTTCAAATATTTTTTTTAGAAGCAAAGTATGAACGCAATTGACCCCAAAATTTCTGTTGCTGAACAAGACCGGGATATGTGGAGTTTGCCCTGTTTTTCAGCCTTTCTTGTTATTAAATGCATCACTGCAGTTTAGTTAGGGACAGGGCTGTTAAGTGAACCTGGATTTTCACTGACTTTGTCAGTGACCCCGGGCCAACTGTCGTAAATAGGAGTCAGTTGCTGCAACGGGATGCTGCAATGGTCATAAGTGTGAAATATAGTCACGTATTTTTTCCATTGCCGTTGTAACTTTGAATGGTCACTAAATGGAACTGGTGTAAATCAAGGAGTGTGTCCTTTTGTCTAATGGCAACAAGATAGAAATCAGGATCGGGGCAGGGATGTATATCAAAGGCCTCAGTGGAGGTGGGGCAGCGACCAGATTGCAGCCTCAGTTGCGTATTGCATCCTGAGGCAGCTGAATGCAAATTCTGTAATCTGGGTTTGTGTGATGATTGTCAACTCATAAAACATTTTCTGTGCTCCGTTTTATAATGGCCAACAGAAAGGACTTTGGAAGAGCAGGGCAGCAGTTTGAAATCGAAAGTGCATTCTGTTCATATTTTGCAGAGATTGTAACTAGGTGACTGAAGTTTCTGCTGTGGACAATCTCTAATTGGAGAACATGATTGATGACTCTTGGCTATGGACGTGTTTTGTTGGAGAATATGAATTATGATACACCCAGAGGGGTGGGGGAAAACCAAGGGTCAAGGGTGACAGTGAATTACGTGTCTCAGAATCGGCTACATACAGATCGTGCCAATATGTCGCTCCTAATGAATTCTTTGAAGTTTTTTGAAGATTGGCTCAAGGGTCGGGATTTAATTCGGGCAATCGCTGGAATCCTGAAGCGACTTCATGACAGATGTACTGTGGCTTCTAACAGTTGCTTATGCATGCCATAGACCAGGGGTCCCCAAACTTGGCAACTTTTAAGACTTGTGGATTATGCTCGCTGGAGAATTCTGGGAGTTGAAGTCCACAAGTCTTAAAAGTTACCAAGTTTGGAGACCTCTGCCATAGACCTTCCTCCTGCCACGCATATTCTGATGGTTGATGGTTGACATATATTCTAACCTTACCTAATTCGTCCTAGATCAGAGATTGGTGGATTCAGACAGCCTACTTGGAGAACCACCTTCCCCTGGTTGTTCACTCAAGCCCAGCTGTCGTCCTGCCCAAGCAGGATTTCAACGACTGGAAAGGACAATTGAGGTGAGTCATTTGGTATGAGGTTAAAAAAAAATGGCTTGAGTCAAGAAGTGGAAGTATCATGGCTGTTGGAGGAAGAATCAGGTCTTTGGGAAGAAAAGGGAATGACGAAGGCAGTGATTGAATTGATACATGAGATTCAATCATGGTTTAACCTGAGGTGGCTAACCTTTTTGGGCTCCCGTGCTGAAAATTGCGTGCGCTATCTCGCGCGCTCGTGTGCCAGCACAGAAGGCAACGTGCCCTTCCCCCCTGCGCATGCGTGCACAACACCCCCGGCATCCCGTTACCTGCATTGCACATGCGCACGCCTCCAGGCTGATTTTCAGCCTCCCTGAGGCTCGAGGGAAGCCTCTTCAGCCTCAGGAGGTCGAAAAATGGGCCTTTCGGAAATACCGGAAGTACCCATTTTCAGCCTCCGGAGGGCCTCTGGAGCCCAGGGGAGGCCGTTTTTGCCCTCCCGGAGGCTCGAAGGATGCCTCTGCAGCCTTTGGAGGCCAAAAAACAGGCCCATTTTGGCACTTCTGGTATTTCCCTCAAGCGTTAGGAAGGCCGAAAACTGGCTCAAATGGGCCAAAAATCAGCTGGGAGGTGCACGCATGCGCAGTGCAAGTAAGTTTGTCTGGGGCTCACATGCCTGCACAAATGGCTCCGGGTGCCACAGGTTCGTCATCACCAGTTTAACCAATATCCCAAAGGTGCTTTTTCAAGAGGCAACTGGATTTTCTTGTTTTTGTTTGAAGACATTTCACTTCTCATCCAGGAAGCTTCTTCACCTCTGACTGGATGGTGGGGAATGGAAAGATTTATATTCCTTGCAGACAGCTGGTCATTTGCATTCTTTTCGAGAGTCCTTGAGGCCACCTGGAGGTTTATCTGTGTTGTCAGGGTCACCTGAGTGATGTAAATGGGTGTGGAGCCTTCTGTTGAAAGGACTGTGTTATAGACTGGAGATAGATGATGCTATATCCCTCCCCCTCTGTTGAGAGAGAACATGTTCAATTTCGACATTGTTGGCCTCTTTGACCCCTCTTTCAAACTAGCGGTCCTCTCTCTCCAAAATGTGGAGTTTTTTTATCTTCAAAATAAACCTCAGGTAGCCTCAAGGACCCTTCGAAAAAAATGCAAATGACCAGCTGTCCAAAAAGAGTATAAATCCTTCAATTTCCCACCATCCAGTCAGAGAAGCTGAAGAAGCTTCTTGGATGAGAAGTGAAATGTCTTCAAAGAAAAACTAGGAAGTTTAGTTGCATCTTGAAAAAAAGTTTGGCTTGTTCTATTTGGATGACTGAGAACCTCCATAGATGTTTAATCAATGGTTTAACCAATGTTTTTGGGATAAACTATAATTTGCTAGATTCTTTCAACATGCTAAACATAAACCATGTTTCATATATCTCTGCGCTGGGGCTTTCAGAATATATTATCCCACAAACAAAATATGGGACATTTTGGAATGCATTGACCTATTTTTAAGATCTTCAGGATCGCCTTATTTTATGGTAGGGGCTCAGTTGTGTAACACGACTTGGAATGTGGTTTAGCAAATTGGATGAGCTAGCCAGTTAGGTTTCCAAACTATGGTTGATGGTTCAGCATGTGACAAAAACTTAGCCAGTTGTGGCTCCCATCAGCCCCTTTGCAGCGTGTCAACATCTCAAGATAAGGCCGTGAATTTTTTTTCTTAAATTGAGCTGGTTTCAAGAATACAAATGGGGAGATTCTTGCTCTATCCCATCATTAAAATGAAAAGTGATCAAAGAATGGCCTGAGAAAAATGTCCATAAGTCCCCCAGTGACATCAAGACATCCGTAGAGCGGAATGTATTAAGAGTTTGCAGCAATCCAACCAGCACACAAGTAAATAAATCAGCAGGATTCATCTATAGAAAAAAACATGTTCATATACAATAATATAAAACATGATTCAAGTATACAATACTCATGCAGCTCTTGCAATGTGATAGCAAGGACAAGAAGCAGAAGCAACTAGAACCATCAGAACTCAGAAATCACAGAAGCTCTATATTTATACAGACCAGTTACTCTTAAACCACGAGCCGGCTGACATAGCTCACAGCAGGTGGTGTTTCTTAGTTATCAAACAGTTCCCATTGGCTGACTTGTTATGGCTATTCCAGATCACGATTTCTTACATGCTGACAGAATGGGACAATTTGCCACAGCCAACTGAGTAGAGTAGAGTAGAGTAGAGTAGAGTAGAGTAGAGTAGAGTAGAGTAGAGTAGAGTGGAACAGGAATAGAACACAACAGAATGGAATGGAATCATAGGGTAGGGTAGGTTAGGATAGGATAGGATAGGATGAGAATAAGGATAGGATAGGATAAGAACAGAAAAGAACAAGAGAATAGAATAGAATAGTAGTGTTGGAAGAGACCTTGTAGGTGATCTAGTCCAACCCCCGGCCCAAGCAGGAGACCCTACACCATTTCTGACAGGTGGCAGTCTAGTCTCTTCTTGAAAGTCTCCAGTGATGGCACTCCCACAACTTCTGAAGGGAAACTGTTCCATTGCTTGATTGTTCTCACAGTCAGAAAACTCAGTACAGGACAACTCGCCACGGCCAAGTCACCGTGGGACAACTCGCTGCAGGACAATTTAACAATTCTATTTAATTATTTAATTATTTAAAAAATTTTTGTCATTCACATATTCTGCCCTCCTTTTGCACCCTTTCTTTCATTATTCCATTCTGCCATTTCTTTAATACCAGTGGAACTCTTGTCCTGCAGTGAGTCGTCCGTGTTGAGTTGGTCGCGGTGAGTTGGTTGTAGCAAGTTGTCCTGCGGCAAGTTGGCCGTGGCGAGTTGTCACAGACCCCTATAGAGGCCCTCTGAGGTCCTCAAAGGATGGGGCTGAGGCCCCGACCCCTAAAACTGAGGTCCTCGTTATTAGTGCAATGCACTAATCCAGACTGAAGGCTGAACCGGCACTGGCAAATCACCAGCAGGAATCACAACAGAAACAATAGGTCTGTAGTGTACGCTGAACACAAATTGCTTTGAAGCTGGGAGCATTGTTTGAAGAGCTCCTTATCCAAAGACACATCGAGCTGAGTCTGGCGTAAAATGAAGTATAATTAAAACTTGCGTGGGTGGCCAGTCAAACAGAGATCACTTCATATAAGTACACCTCTGGCTGGCAGCTGCTGAAAAGGGGTGTGGCTTAATGCATATCCTTAACCAGATTGTTTGAAAGGAACAAGTGTGGGGGTATAGCTCAGCGGTAGAGCATTTGACTGCAGATCAAGAGGTCCCTGGTTCAAGTCCGGGTGCCCCCTTCTTTTAGTGGGGGGAAGGAAAAGAGCGTTTAACTTCAAGGTCATCGACTACCTTCCCAACCTTTTGGCCATTATCCCAAAGGTGCTTTTCTCAGGAGGCAACTGGACTTTCTGGTTTTTTTCTTTTCTTTGAAGATGTTCTCATCCAAGAAGCTTCGTCAGCTTTATACTCCTTGCAGACAGCTGGTCCTAGAGCAGGGGTGTCATTAAAGTGGATTTCATTGAGGGCCGCATCATGGTTGTGTTTGATCTTGAGGGGCTGGGATGGGGGGGTGGCCAGGGTAGCCGTGCTAAATGTCACTCAAGTCAGAGGTGCCTGTGGTGGCCCAAGTGCTCTGCCAACGAAAATGGGTTTCCGAGCTCCGTTTTTGGCTGCGACCCTCTGACAGCGAAAACAGCTCGGGAGGGCCACATGCAGCCCTCCCGAGCTCCGTTTTCACTGGTAGAGGCACTGCGGGACGGTCCTTTGCTGTTTCCAGAGTGGCCCCCATGGGCCGAATCTGGCCACCGGGCTTTGAGTTTGACACCCGTGTTTTAGAGGGTGGTTGAAGCACCTTTGGGACAACCATGACCTGGATGACTGAGAATATCTAACAGACTTTTAGCTATACAATTTGGGATGAACACCCTTTGGATGGTGTGGGAGCAGGAATGGATTTCCAGAGGAAAATAGCAAACTGCAGGAACCAGCAGCACTACTTGAATGACATTGAGGACACAGATAAACCTCCAAGTGGCCTCAGCGACTCTCTACAAAGAATGCAAATGACCAGCTGTCTGCAAGGAGTATAAATCCTTCCATTCCCCACCATCCAGTTAGAGCTGAAGAAGCTTCTTGGATGAGAAGCGAAACATCTTCAAAAGAAAAAAAAAACAAGAAAGTCCAGTTGCCTCCTGAAAAAAGCACCTTTGGGACAACCATGACCTGGATGAGGGAGAATCTCTACAGGCCTTTGGGGCACTAGGGACCAGTTCTATGGAGAGAGGTTTTTCCATGGACAGGATGGGGCGTGGTTTTGCATGCTGCTTGCACCCCATGGATGGGGCTTTGCTTGTTTGGGTGTCCTGGTTTTTGGCATGCCGTGGCCCAGTGCCAGTCTACAGATCCCAGGGGTTGTTGTGGTTAGCCGGCAGCAGGTGCGGACAGCTGAGGAGAGCGAGGACTCAGGTGAGGGGCCAGGACCATCAGGGAGTGGACTGCTGCCTTCAGAGATTGTGGGGGCTGGCAGCAGTGATGAGGAGGTTCCTGAGGAGCCCGTGGCCAAATGCACATGTGCGCAGGATTGCTCACAGGCAAGAGCAGCTACAACAGCACGAACGACTTGGGAGTAAGGCTGCAAGGTAATGGCCCCTCCTTCAAGCAGATAAAAGCCAGGTGTGAAACGAACATTCTTTGCAGAAGGCAAAGACATTTTGAAACTCCAGCCTCGTGGACATTCCAGTATCCTGAGTTGGTATTTAAAGACTCTTGTATTGCAAATTATTTCTTGCCTGTTATCTTTTGGCTGTCTCGCACAGTTTGGCAAGGCTTGTACTTATCACAGCTAATTATTTTGCAGAAGCATTAAAAGGTTTCTGTTCCTTTTGGTTTGTGTTTGATTTGTTGGGAAAGGGTGTGGGTCAGAACAGGGGTTGGGGACCCCCTGTTCTATGCCAACAAAACAAGTGGGAAATAAATATTGAGACAGTTCCCCAAGACTA